CAGTTTTATACATTTGGTTTGACGAGAGAAGTCTGCCAACATACGTTTGTTGCGGTGAAAATTGTGATTTTCCAATGGATATTTGAAAATCATCTGATTTATTGAAAGTTCCTGTTTCGGTGTTTTCATCAGGATGCTATCTGCATTCTCAAAAGAGGTTTTAGATCATGCCTGTGATACCCATCTATGGGTATGCAATAATTTGGTTAGAGGATGCAATTGATTCTAACTCGGCTCAGCTCCGGACTACGACTTGTCACTAATAGATATCAAACTATCGATGGATTTGGGTTTGTTCAGTTATATGATTAAGGTCTGGCAGGTTGCTTGCGTTTATGGTACTGATTGAAGTATAATTCTGTGTGAAATTGAGTGATCTCCAATTGGAAGATGGCCCTTGTTCATCTGAGATACACTACAGCGAGCAGTGAACCACATCGGTGCAGCCGTCATTGGTCCAGGAATCGGTGACTGTTCATGCCCGTCTGGCGATGCCGCATCGCAATTTGCGTAATGAGAAATGTGACAGTCGGACTAAACAATGATGGGATCGGTCGACCTTGGTTGCGATGACCTTTAGTGTATTTGTTGCGTCCTAGTAAAGCAAGTAAAACATCACGTAGTGAATTAAGCAGTTCGTTCATTTTCAGAATTTGCACGTAACCGGTCTGTAGGCTGGTGAGCAAGCTAGGGCGTCAACACGTCAGCAAACAATCAGGACGGATAATTACATGCAATCAGGTCGCGGTTGAGTCGGACGATCCGGCAAGCAAAGAATCAATCACAGCAGGTAGTTCAATGGTGAAATCAGATCGCCTGGAAAGGATCAATATTATAGTATAGTAATTCTGCGTTCGTGCGTGCGTGTATGATAGCTGGTAGCATCGATCGATCAGTCGATCAGACCAAAAGCATATGCGGTAAACGTTTCAGTCAACTGTAAACCACAACAATAACCGTGTCAAGGTTTGTCCTTGTTCTGGTGATGACGATCAATTGTACCTTAGCTCTCACAGTGTGTAGGTGTACACCTCCTAAGGAAATCCGTTTGCGAGTATAAAACACATTTGCGAAGATTTCATTGCAAAATCAAATACACATATGCGTCTGATCACATAAATGCCTGAAACGTCAGAAAATAGGAATCATGTTTAAACGGTAGTGGAAAACAGAATAAATGTTGGTATTAGAATGGGGAGATGGATTTGATTTGATTTATAGAAAGAGATAAAACTTGAAACAAACTTTTGTTTTCACCAGGTAAAACATCCTAAGCTATCACTAGGTTGGTGAGCCACAAGCAGCTAGCTCATTTAAAGGAATTGGAGGGTGCCAAGGTTTCAAACCTCTCAAGAAAGATACAGGATGACGAAGGTCGCCAAGTCACTTAAAAGATGAGATGAATTGACTGGATCAAGCTTCATGCATAATCAACAAGTGCAAAAGTGTGTTTGACTCTGCGTCTTATGTATGTAGGCTTTTCTCGACTGATGAGTCACTCATTTGACACTATTGATGGCGCCCAATGCTGGTGAAAGCAGCTCGACAAAAATGATGAGGTGAACTGTTACCTGAGTATCACGTATGTGTCTAACATTTAAAGGAACATTTTTCGACAATATCCGAAAAGTCTGAACGGCCGGCAATACGGATTGCACTTGTCTATATTCAGTAAACATTAGTTTATCACACTGCTGATGAAGCTGATAGACTTAAAAAGGATATAGATTTTGTAAGCATAGTTTCCGCGTAACGAATTTGAATAAAGAAGTCAAAAATACAAGTTTGCACAATGTATCCTGGATTATTTCGCTGCATCTGTACACATGCATACTGGTGTCTATGTGATCATTAATATACATGGTCAGTAAATAACAAAATCATAGGCGGAGAAAGATTGTGGTCAAAATTACTCACCAAACATTTGTTACCAAGGTAATGCCAGAGTGATAAGCCATTCACGTTGTTTACACAGTTCGGGATGGTAATTTTGAATGGTTAGTGTCTCGGCATATTTCAGAACCTTGTTGTTTGTGTTGTACAGGATTCTGAATGCGTCACGCAGCATGACACAGTGTTTCGTTTCGACCTGGTTTTGTGTGATCGACGAAATGAGTTTCCTATGGGCCATTGGTGACCTCATACTTCTGACGTTCCCACTCATTGTTTTCTGAAGCCAGACCGGGATGTGCTCGGTTACTCGGTAACACAGTTATCTCTCCGTTCTGAGGATGTGGCGGAGCATCCATACTTGAACTGATAGATACTATTAGATCTGTGAAATCCGAAGGATAGCCAGTCAAATCACTCAACATCACTTATCCCACGTGTACACAGTCACAAGTAACTGAGTCAAATGTATTTTTCTTTAGCAATTCTCGTGATTGATGTCAGATAGGAATTGCTAAAAAACGACTTCGGACGGTGAAATAGTAACAGAGAGGTCTATAGAGGCACCTGATGACAGATTTGTTTATATGGGGTTTACCATATTCTAAACAACAGTGGTAGTTGCATAACAAAGCACAACTGAAAGATTCAAATGAGATCATATACATGCACAATGTTCACTCAACTATCTCTTTCCACTTACAAAGAGTTATCCTCGGTATATATCCTTTGATAAGATGTTGTAACATACGTTCACATTTCTCTTTCCACATTCTTTATCTGTCCTAGATATGTGTATTTCCGCCACTGATTTTGCAAATGATCGATCGAATTGATATTGAATGATCACNCCATAGATAGAGGTTAAGGAAGACTGTCATTTTAGATAATAGACGACCAATTTGTGCTCCATGGTGGTAACATCCTCCTGATAAACAATTCTAACTGAGCTTAACGGTTGATATAGCCTTTCGGAAACACCAGCTGACTATAACCTTCTCACCCTCCAGAAGTACGATGAATCTCCCTTTTATTGCATTCACACAAATCTCCCTATTAAGTTTAGTCATTAGACGCGCAGTAATGTATCTCCTGAATCGAAGTATGTGTGTAATGATTCTATGAAGAGAGCACGGATGAAGGCAAGAGAGCGTAGCACTTTACCGGTTAGGGCTACTGACTACGAAATCGTTTTGTATGTTCTGCCGCTTCTCGGGGCAGATCGCCATCACTTGTACTTTTGAACTGATCGATCCATCGACTGACTCTCTGTGCATCTGGGCGTAATTTCCAATAATACAACACGGAACTTATTCCACATGAACTTCACTTTTGTAAGCACCGTGGGAATTCAAAACTTCGGGGGAGCGTCGGACAACAGAAAGTGCTCATCCGTCTATTGATCTTCCTGGTAGTCTCATGGTTTCATGTCATGCACTGGTATACTGTATAACCTAAAAGCACATTTTAGGTTGGTGAGATGAAAATACTCTTAACTGATCGTGTTGAACAAGAAGATAATGGTCAGAGGTGAATGCTTTTTGGGTCAAACATTCTTCAAAACATCGTATTCAATAGAACTGAAAATGACAAAAACGAGTGAAATGTTTCTTGCCTAATACACACAGAATTCGCATTGGTGTTGGTGTGTTCTCGGAGCTGGAACTGCTGTTCACAGACGTTTCGTACCCAAGCTAGTCAGCTAGTCAGTGTACTGCGTACGCGTCCGTAGGATGAACCACAATGAGCTTATGTCGTGTGGCTACGAATGACAGATGGGAAAGCGATCCTGGAAGTCGAAGCTTTGGTGGTACACAAACGGGATGGGCACATACACCCTGCAAGATAGCCCAGGGTCTTGTTACGGCGGGAACTAATATTGGTCTGGGGAAACGAGTGAGTTGATTTTCAACAAGGGAACTGAGACATGTAAAGATATCATCAGTGAATCATTGATTAAAACAGCTGCTAGAGCAGCAATCCATCTTCACATTGAAGGTATTGGCGCATCAAAAAGCATATCGTGGTCACGACTTTCAGTTATGCAGGCTGTATTACGGCGTTCACTGCTAGATCGCCAGATCCCAATCAAACTTAAAACCGCTGGGATCTTCTTAAAACTTCTGCTATTCTGCTTTCTTTTATTAAACACAATAGTACTAACAAATACCAATAAGAGAAAAGGACAATTGAAGGACTGTCATTTAACAAAACTACAAGAGAAAGTTCGGCGGTGGTAGTAAGGTTCGTTCACACAACCTCTGGAGAGAGAATGTGGTCAAACCAATCTTTTGGCCTCCGCCGCTGGGTGGTGTTGTCTAATGAGTTGCATTTTATACATTTATTCCCGTTCGATTCGAATGACATATTAGTAAGTTAGATATACTCAGTTCTGATGACTTCGTCGATGAATCAAAGAGAAATGGGTTCGGTCCCGTCAACAATGGGCATTGTGTCACATTGAACAGCTCATAATCGGCTCACAATAAACTGATCACAAGTAAGTTCGTCTACAGTAGCTACTTCACCGAAACCCAATTAATAGGTGGACAAACACAATGGAAGATCGCAGTAAAGTTCACTAACTTTACATCCCATTAGATATACCTTACAGGGTTCTCCCTCAGTGACCAGTGAAGCCCGTTTAGAAAACAAACCATAAAAGACAGAAATTGTTGAACATTCAGTATAACGTTCTTCCATTTTTTATCGGTAACTGTTTCAATTCGTAGGGAAATTTTGAATTGTAGAGTGCAGTAATTGAAAGTGAATAGATAAGGTATGGTTAAAAATAAGTGTGATAACTAAAAATAATACCCAGAGTCGGACTACATGCAGCCTGATAAAAGCTCTGAGAGTGAAATGAGAATTGGTGGAAAAAAATCTGTGCTACACATAAACCGGTGCATGACACAAGTGAGAACATGTGTGTGTAGAACGATGCACGATTGTGTTCGGAGTTGTTGTTTTCCGAATGAACTGGTTACGAATGCGGGGAAACGATAAATAACCTTTTTGATTCAAAATTCTCTGACTACATAAACTGGAATCAAAATTGAGCTGTATGGATGTGTAGACATATCAGTGGCTTGAGGATAAAAAAACAGAACTTAGGGGTCCCATTTGGTTTTGATCAGAACACGGACTGACAAAAAATAGACACCACAAAGACAATAAGGTTGTACGGTTCTTTTGCATAGAAAATCGCAGTAACTCTGTTAGGTAAATAATTGTTCATTGTAATAGTTTGTATTTATGTGTTGCCACGGTTTTTTCTTGATCAAAAAGATATGGAATAAAAGAAAACAACTCTCCGGAACAAACAAAAAAATTAATAAACCGAAAGAAAAGAGTAAAATAGCTTGGTGGGTGGGCTGGGGTGGTTTTTTCCAGGTTGTGTTCTCTGATCACTGGGGTAGGGGTCATATCACCTTCGTCCCGTCCGATTTCACAGCCTGTTTGTGTCATTTGGATGAATCGTATTTCCGCTTGCATTCATTTCCAGACTGGAATCAGCCAGAGGACTGTTCTTCAATAAATCCACTGCTTCCGTTCCCAACTGGTCAAATACAGTATAGTTCAACTGCGTGTCGTTCGGACGGTTATGTTTGCCATTGGCCTCTGAAAGAATAAATGAGAAAAAAAGACTTAGTTATTGACAAAATATTGAAAATTGGTTCTCGTAGCTCAGGTGAAGTGAATTCCATTTTGCCTGTTTACCGAGCTTGGCAATTTGTTTGCAAACGTTTCATTACCAGCCGAGGTGACATCATTAGTGCACGTGAAGTGGCAGTGTTCTGCTTGTACCCGTTCGTTCAGCTATGCTCTCGCAATTTGTTGCGTTCGGAGTTGAAATGGACCGACCCAATGAACCGTTCTCCTAGATCAGTATGGAAGAGTGTGGATCAGTCACTTTCTTGGAAATATCATTCCAGTTTTCAAACAGTGATCTATTTATTTGCGCCCGTGGTGCTCAACACAATTGGACGGTATTTATTTATCAATATGATTGTGAACGGTTCAAGCTGATGCTGTTGCTCCTTATTCCCAAGACACATCCTGTAATTTACGCAGGAAACTCTAAAAGTACATACACAGCTAAATTGAAGAGCCGAGTGTTCAAATATATCGATTACACTGTTCGATAATTCTCCGTCTGCGGTTCAGAGTAGATTACCAGGAGTCCGCTACTGTTATGAATTGCTTCCAAGCCTCACTAACGCCACTCAAAAACGCACTCAAACGCAAGTAATCATTCATTTGAACATCCAGCCAAAGATGTTCTACCTATAAGCAATAGTTCACTCAGACGTGTCGATGGACATCTAACTAATATTTCCATTCCATCCTTTTGGATGGAGGAAACCATAGTTTTAGAAAAAAGTAGAGGCGATTCTTGCGGACAGGGATCACAACTGCATTTTGATAGAAAAGTGTTTCCATACCTGTTTTCCTATGCTTGGATAAGGATTAAAATTCAATGTGATGATTATTGCTGGAGGATGGAGTAGAAGTTGTGCATTCCAGCCATACAGGTCTTCCAGTAGACGAGCCAACCAATTTCGAATCAGTCACGATGATACTGAATCATGGATGCGTATTCTACACTGCCCGTATGATGAACAATTCGAATGGATGCTGTGAGGTTATCAAGGCCTTTTCTTAAAGGTTTGTATGGATCCACACACACTAAGCCTGTATCTCTGTCTCCCCGATGTGTGTCGTAGCATATTAATCTATTATTTTCAACAGGCTTGTACTAAAGGTTTCTCCACTGAACGAAACAAAAAGTGATTTGATTCAGTGTCATGTCGCAGAGGAGTATGACGCACAAGGAGAGAAAACTATGAGAAACATGAGGATATTGATTTTGAAAGGAAAAAAATTTAAAAACATTTATCAAGGCTTGCCTAAAGCAGTGTCACCTAAGCAACCGATAACTTGATGAGGTGCTGCTTTCAGTTCATGGTAAGGAGTGGTATCCCTGTTTCAGGCTGCATAATTCCGGGAAATTCTATATATGTACTGCTTGTATGAACTGAATTCCAAACTCCCATCTGGATGTTGTCACGATTTTAGCGGTGCCACAACGATTTGGGGGTTAGCAGGTTGGGATCATGTGAGCGCAGAAGGGTTCTATTTACTGCACCATGGAAATGCTTGTGGTTTTGAAGCCACATTACCAAACAGCTCTGCCTAAAATTTACAAAAAATGTGTAGGTTTCATTATAGCTTGAATTTTTCTTATTGGCTCTAACGTCGCCACCTAATCGGAAGGAACAGGTGGTTATATAGCGATTTTTCACAAAATATGGGTATTATTGACAGTGCCCATTATTCAACATAAGCCTGTTAGCGAAATCCAAAAAATTCAACGTTGTCATCTAAAACAAGGACGTTTACAGTACGTTGGGTCACTGTGAGTCTCTTGGAGTTGATTGAAGTTGAACGCAAGTGTTCTGCTTTGCTAATGAATAAATACTGCTATTACTTTAATTTAGCTTTTTACTGAGAAACATAGAAACCAGCACACTGCCCACAACTACATAGAGCTAGGTCGTCTAGAACACACTGTTCGTGCTCATTTTTTATATGTTAAACAAGAAAATTGTTCAGTAAAGCTCTGTCTACATTTTGATGTCATTTTTTTGGACGTTGCTTTCATCCGGTAATCACCAATGCCTTTGAAAGTCTGTCTAGTCATTAGAAATGATACAGTCAAAACAGTTTTTTTCCCTTTATTCACATTACAGGTTCAATTCAAACAAGTTAGATGAAGCGTTTCTTCATTCACATTTGAACTATTTAAAAAATCCGTCCACCTGTCCCAATTGGGTCTGAATGGAAATTGTTCATTTGGTGCTCCAGAAAAAAAGCTGGCTCCTAAAATCAAAAATGTCAATCGCCAAGGTCTTAAATAGTCAGTTTGGTGGCAATCAGTATTTCCTGTGCCCGAACCGGATGTGGGGTTGCACGGATTGAGGAAATCCGGACTTGTAGTTGTACACAAAAGAGAGGGAGGGGAGGAGACAGAATATACCGATTGACACGTAGACGGCAGGGAGAAAGCAGCGTGGATTAAAACTTTCACTTGCTTTTAAGGCTCTCGGAGAGATTGTTACATAACAAGTAGTTGACAAAATATTGAAAATTGGTTCTCATAGCTCGGGTGAAGTGAATTCCATTTTACCTGTTCACCGAGCTTGGTAATTTGCTTGCAAACGTGTCATCACCAGCCGAGGTGGTGATGTCACCTAGGTTGGTGATGAAACGTTTGCAAACCAATTGCCAAGCTCGGTGAACAGGCGAAATGGAAAATCAAGTAGTTTTTTACGGAATGGGGAGTTTACGGAATAAATCTTACCGGTGGACTCCGCATCACGAAATCGTTGCTGCAGTGACTCCGAATAACGCGGTTGCAACAGAAGCTTGATACGCTTGACGAACAACATAAAAGTGTAAAGAAAACGCTCATGAGAGCAGATTTGATCATGCGATATAACTGATCTTATCTTCGCAAATATCTATATAACATACAAATAAATGTACAATCAACCTTCAGGAAAGTGGCTACGGCTGCTGCTAGGGCAAATATAAAAGTGGAAAGATTGGCAACGGTTGATGGATTTGAACTCAGGACATCCAGTGGGGCTGAAACGATGACGCTTACCACCTTACTGACTACTTTGCAAAAAGTTAAAGGCAACACGTAAACGTTTGATTCGATATGTGTAACCGTGTGCATGTTTGCCTACGTATATTTGAAATGTCATCGTTCCAGCTGGGAAACTGGTGTTGAAAATCAACGTGCACAACGACTTAAAACAATGAAAATATTAAATTTCTAATTTCTGTGACTTACCGCTCACAAAAGCAGAAGCACTTTGAAATATTTACACTTAAATTTATCTTAATTAACTTTCAAACTGTGTTGCTTGTGACAGTGTAGGTGGGTACCTGTAATTGATTGCACAACATGAAGGTAACCGAGAACATACCTTCCGGGTTGAATTGAGTTTGTCAGAAACACATATTCGTAGGTCATTTGTCTGATTGTCCGCCGGGTACAAATCGTCGCATTTTTCAAACAGTGAACACGCGGAATGTTACACATTCCACCACTGTACCAATCGTTTGACTATATCCAGCGTAGCTTAGTTTTGATTGTGCTTACATTATATTTTCAAGATCGATAATCAGTCAGTTTTATGCAAACTAAGCACACGCTCAAGACAAATTCTAATTGACACCGAGCCGTGTTTTGCACAGCACTTAAAACTTTATTGTAAAATAAGATTGGTTGGTTAAAAAAAATGATTAGTTTCAGGCTGTGTCGTTTGAACACTTCCAATAAAGTATAGTTATTTGATAATTTCGGAACAGATATGATGCAAACATAAGTTAACATATGGATGAAAATACCAAACGATTTTCCAGTTGAAACTGAGACAATAGAATTGATACGGAAGTAAAATGTTTTTCGTACCTTTATTAGTGACAATCACCAACCGATAATTCCTCGAGTTCTATTTCGACAGGGCACAAAATTCCCTCAATTTTAGTCACTGTCTTTAGAACTGTGTGATTTTTGACGACGAATGACTTCAGTGAAAAATGCGTCCAGCAATCCTGGATATTATGTTCTCGTGGCTGAGGTTCATTTGATTGATGTGTGCTATTTTATTTTAGGGATTTTGAAAGTGAAACTTCAAATACGAGATCAGGAAGCACTGTATAGCCATTTTGGTATGCTTGGGTCTCATCATCAGTGCAAATCTACTCACATAACTGAAGATCTCAAAGGTAGAACTTGAGTACATTGTTTACTTGACCACCGGGCAGCTTTTTAGACAAGACCCATGTTAACGAGTTTGTTGCAGACCGGTTGATGTATTTCTAATCGATTTCTAACTGTAGAGGCTAGTGCTGAGATGTACGCCCGGTTTCTGTGAATTATAATTTGCTCATACGAACATAACTTTGAAAAAATGAATGTATCAAATCAATAAAACTGTTGGCCTTCAGATGCGGATTGGGGAGCAGGAAGAGAGATAGGAAGCGGTTTCGTCTTTGGACGGCAAGATTGACGACCGGAGACGGATAAATAATCATTGATGCACCGCAACAGCTTTTTCAAGGAGCCTCTTTCTGGTTTAGTCTGAGGATTACAGAATGTTGATACTTCTGAACAATGTCAATGTGCTAGAATGTGCACTTTTGTTCTATGACGTTCATTTAAATGAAGGCTTAAAATAATCCCCAAGAGATACTACATAGCCACTGAAATCCGACGTATTTACCTGTTCCATTTCTTAATGCATTTGATGTAAAAGTGTTTTGCAAGGATACAACTCCTATCATAAATAAAAAACATCTCTTACTACCAAAAAGAATGACATGGTGCTAAATAAGTGAAGTGGAGTGTTTTGGAAAGAGAATATCAGCAGATATGCATAGAAATCAGATCTCCTATCCACCATCTTTTTGCACAGTGGTAGGAAAACGGAGAAGAATGATTCGTTGACTGGCCTTTTTTATTTCTGAATAACTGAAGCAATCTTTACCAGGTTCACGATAAATGAACAGTACCAAAATTGCTATCGATAATGCACAGGTTATCAACAGCTTACTTCTACAAATGTGCCCGGGGTTATCAGAACTTGTACGAACAAGGTGATTGGAATCAGGAACAGACTGGAACTGGCCATAAACCAGCCAAGTTTGACCGACCAGCCGGGAAAATGATACGGCTCCGGTTGACTTGACCGGCGGTATGTAAGCTCCTCGTATACGATCACACTGAAGACGAACAGAACCTAAACCACGAAGTTGGTCAGGGGAAAGTGCATATGATTAGTCGGGCTGATTTGAAACAAACCAACCGAGGATAAAATCACGAATATGACCATAAAATGAACGAAATAGGTGCGGATTACAAGCGCTGTAACATAACATTTAACAGGTCAGGTTCTTAAATCCGTGAAAGAGGCATGCATACTGCGCATTTCTCTGAATCCGTTGGTATCGTCTAACTGGTTGCTTTTCACTACGGGAAACATGATTATATATACGTGACATATACGTGATTATCTTCTTACATTGACAATATGATATTAGAAGTATTGGGTGGATTACGGATCTTCAACGGCGATGCTATACAAGGATATTCTCCATGGAGTAAATATTTTATCCATAATCGCAACGTATCCAAAAGTATAAAAAATAAAATACCCCTATAAATACATCTGCACACACATCTACATCTTAAAATAAGTATCTCAATACAGTATTTATTTAATAATTCCTAAATTTCAAGGAGTTTCTAGCACTCGACAAAACTTCAGGAGATACTTTGAACCCATGTTATTTAGAACACTTTGGATTGAAATAACTTTTTCCATTCATTGGTAAACCAAATTTCGCATGACTCGACATAACGAAACTTTGGATCTTGATGTTTGATTTGGTCTGAAGTGGAGGATTATACTTCACGTCTTCAATATACTGACTATTTGTATACAATATGCAGCACCATTGGAATACACTCAATTTGTCCACATGAGTGCATTTAATGCATCAATGTGGCAACACTTTGCACTTTAAATATCTGGCAAGCAGACGTCGTCTTCGCAGTTTGTGATTTCAAACCGGCTTGATTCTTTTTCTTTCCAGTGTTGCTCGTTCAAGGAGTTACAAATGAAGAAGTACTTCAAAGTACACATGTGGTGGTTATCGTTCATTTATACTCCTTTCTATTTATCTATTCTGTGTAAACAACTGTAATGCAAAGTACATTCCTCCACACGTCAAGGAAACATTGTGAAATAACATTTTGTTCAGGAATATCACAATACTTGTCTTCATACTTCCGTTGCTGAAAATCTCATACAAAATTATCGTAAATTCCGGTTGTACTGATACCACGTACCAGAGTGAAACAAGGAGTGATGAAACACCAGAAGATTTTTGGGGCCCAACCAAGCGAGAATCCATACATCAGACGCATGTTATTCGTGAAGCGTTTACAGCCTGTGTATGAAGTAGAGAGATTCAAACAATGCATGGCGTTTTAAATAGCGTGAGCTGCCTGTTATTTCTCATTTGTACTATTTGCATACATTGTGCTCTGCACAAAAACTCTGAACTAAAAACGTTGTTGATCAATAGATTCACTTTGAGATTCATCAATCGTTATGTCATGAAAACGTCCGACATCCTTACTCCATAAACTTGAAACCTCCTCAATATTCACAAAAAAATGAAGTTTAAACAAGATAACAGGAAAAAATACGGATCCTCGAAATAAAATTCGAATGCATGGCTAAATCCTAATGCAAATTCCTAGTAAAAAGGTCGACTAAACAACTTAATCCGATAAAGTTTAGCTGGTCGATTTAATTCCAAATCCAATCCTGAATCACAAAGAGACAATTGAGATAGTCTTTCAAATATTTAAATTATTCCACGGAGGCTCTTGCAGATTAAGATACAAATGTCATTTTCTACAGGGACATTTCGCTCTTTTTCCCTCTCAGTGGAGTGACTCCATCAATCATCCGATTATGAAAGTAGTACCAAATCAACCTATTCTTAGAATTGTACTATTTCACAAGGTATATTTACATTTCCGTTCCAGGAAACCTCCCATCATGAACTAAATAGGATCTGAGACAGCGAAGTTAATCCTGAATGCACCGACTGACTTCTAAGATGTAAGGGTTGATGAACAGCTTAGATGTAACCATTGGTCAGAGAGGTAAGTAGCACTTTTCACGCACTTTGATCGAATTGATAGAAATCGATGATGACGATGATGATAACAAATGAATGTGCCTCAACGCGTAAAACAGCATATCTGGCACTGACCATAGACGTAACCAATAGCAATTGTTTCCAGGAACCCAACAACTAGAATGATGCGGCTTCCACTGAAATAGTCGAACAACTGAAAAACGTACATGCCACCCTGAAAAAGGAAACAAATGGATGAGGATTGTTTCGGAAAAATGTTAAAAAATTTAACAAGCAGAAAATGGTTGATGGCAACAAAATGAAAATTCTAAATCGAAAACAATAAAAAACGTGACAAGGATTGTGTATGGGGAAATTAGCCGAAAATAATTAGTTTAGTGTTTTTATCATTTGTACAGTTTTCATCAGATGCCATACGAAAGGTAAACTTGCGTGAGATGAAATCGTGAGCATATTTCCATGCCTTACTTATCCCACAATTATTTTACTCTTTTTCGAAATTACAAGTAATGATATGCCATGACATGCTGCACTAAAGCTGATGGTAGAGATACGAAACAAGGAAATACCAAATAAAAGAGTGAATATTTGTACAGTTATGTGCAAATTGATAATATAGAGCTAAACTCTCCTTCGGATGACGTGAACAATTACTTTAATTCTGCACATATAACGTGCAATTCTAGCCTATGAAGTCTATGAACTGAAAAGCAACATGTCCACGGAGTATTTGCTGGGACCGCCTTTCCAGGATTTATTCATGGTGAAACTCGAATCAAATTTTCGGAGTGAACAATTCAACACCAAACCAAATCAAACTGTTTAGTAAGTTCAAGACTGCCCATGAAAGATGACATTTACTTTTTAAGTGAAATGTAATGACAAGTTGCGGTTTTGAGACCTCAGAATCACTCGGTGGTTAAAAGGTTCAGTGCAACGGTCAGTGCATGAAAAGGTGACGAAAACGTTCTAAGCTTTGCATCGTTAAGGTAATAGGGTTTGTTGCCTAGCGGATAAAACAAGAAAAACATTCAGTAAGAAACCTGGTTTAGCCCCACACACCCAACATCCGACTGGTCACGATGATCGGAGGAATGAACAAAAATCTGGGTTGGGTCAGCAACTGCCGATGAGACCTAAGCAGTTCGAAACAATTGTCCGGTGATTCCTAGTTTTAAAGTTCCTGCTACATTTGTTTCGCACCCGACGGAAAATTCACCATATAATCAAATCAAATCACACACTATTCTCATGTTTTTATGTGGTAATTGTGATTCTGACTTCTCATTTCATGATGAGTCAGTCATAATAATAATGTTGTGTGGGCTTGTTTTATTATTATTTTTTCTCAAAACAAATAAGTGATGCACATTGCGATATACTGACGTGATTACAGATTACAGGAAACGAGCCGGTTTGCCACTGTCTTATTGGAAAGGTGCTCTGTGGTACTTTGCAAACAAGATACCGAACTGATGTCAACTTTAACACTGCAAGAAAACCCGAAAATGAATTTACGTTTGAACCAGTGTGGGAATGTTCCCTCTTATACCCTCTCCCTCTCTCGCCCTCCGTAGTTCACAGCCGTATTTCAAGGGAATGGTCAATAATGTATACGTCACTGGGAGTTGAACATTTTGAATACTTCATAATTAGCCTCAGGAAGGTGCGGTGGTCTGGGGACCATCTAATATACAGGCAAGTAAGTAATTCATACACTACCGACTTGAGTGATATGTATTTACACAAAATGAACAGATAAATAAATATTCTCTCATATTTGTTAACCAGCTGTCTGGGTTTCGCCATCCATATTCAATATCTTTTCATCTCTGTGGTTTCCGAAAAATGAAAGTATATAGCGAAACCGTCTGGTGGACAAATATGTACACCAGTGATCACTTTAGGCATATTCCTTTCACTTTCTGATTACATTTTCACATCCCAGAAGTAGCTACTGGTTTGGTTGTCTTTCACAACCACGTATACTTATCGGATATTTTCAGTGTTTCGACACACGGTATCTTTTCTGTGATTCGGCCTTTGATAGTCAGAAGTGAGTGGTGTCATTTAGGAAAACCGAAACAAAACGGAACCTTGTGAACAATTGGATTTAGTGAGTTTCAGAACCATGTAGCCTCGTTCGAACATAGAGGTTGACTCAAAAGTTGAAAACCCCAAAAGTCAGGGATGGGAAGTGAACCAGCGGAAGCGTGCTTCACATTTTTGACGTAAACAGCATCATTACATATTCTATTCTTTCACAAAAGGCGCTAACTGGAACCTCAATGGAAAAGCGATAAGCAAACTTATCGATCACCTGATTGGAATGAGTCCGAATAAAATGTTTGTATTCTGTAGCTAACATACACGAATGCAACATTTGACATAGCCTTCCGAAATGGTTGCGCTATTTTTCTCTATTGGATCATAGCTACATAGTTACTGGCATCGCCTTTGCTTCGAAATATCAGTAGTTATGTGTTTCGCTGTCAAATATTCACCTTTCAGGAGGAGGGAGGCAAACACCATTTAATTAAACTAACTTGAGTAGTGAACTGATTTATTCAGCAGAGGAATGATTTATATAAGATTACAGCCAGGCGGTCTCAATATGAATTAGGAAATTACGAGAGAAAGTGCACAACGTTAAGACAATAGTATGTCAACGAACTACCGGACAGTCCAATCAAATTATTGTTGTGGATGAGTGAGAATTTCGTAATGATTCCAGATCCTACAGTGGTCTTTTGTAAGAGACCTTTTTAATGGGAGTGTACACAATGATGGACGTACAAGGGGCACATAGGCTGACGGTGACGGATAAAATATAACTCAACCGTTACTTTATTTCTCAGCCGTAAAGCAACTTTCAACGAGAAAAATCTGCGCTTTGTTTAGCAATGTTTAGCAGACAACTTTAGTAGAAACATTACAAGCATGTTCACTGTTTTTCCAGATAACGTTTCCTCAGTTTTATCATCAACACCATATGGATTGATATTTGTTTTCCCTCTAACGTTCAACAAAAGGTTTAACATTTTTTGAAATTTATTTTGGCGTGCGCTGTTGGCGCATATGAAGATATATCTGAGTACGTTTAGCGAAATACGGATCGGAAACCAGAAGGTAGCACCAGGAAAAAGGGGCACATTGAGTCCGAGTATGCAAATCGAAAACGTGTGATACAGCTGTTTCAGTTCATCAAACGTGGCAAGGTGAGTTGATCAGAAAGTGTATCGCATATCGACCCATTTTGTGCTACAATACAAAGACAGTGCATATCAACAGGCAGGTGACAAGCTTAGCACGTGTTACAACGGATTATTTAATCCTAAGACTGGTGGTAAAACATGGGGAAAGTCAACCTTCTACCAACTCACTGCATTGATTAGCGGTGTATTTGAGGCGTTTCGCCCTCCTAAATAGCTCGCGTTGACTACTAAGATACTGAATCGAACCGTTCATATGCGGCCGCGTCCCCAGGCCGCCATTAGTTTGGCGTTACCTTGAACGTTAGCTGGGAATAGCGGGGGTCACGCCTCTTATTCAATTATCGTGAATCCCTACGGCAATGAGGCACTGGTCAACGTCATCAATGGGAAAAGATGAACTCTGATATGCGTACTTACTTTTGTTACCATGGACAATCCGATGATATAGGATATGGCGCAAACCGAACCAACAACTCCACAACGGATACGAACATCGGAGTGAATACGAGGTAAGAAGTCAGCCAATGCGGCCACGAAGCCTTCAACACCTCCGAACTAAGTAGAGCATTTAGAACCAAAAACGACAAGAGGAATTGAAGGGAAATGCAGTTAGTTTGGGCTGTTCGTGAGCTAACATTGTCCGATATATGATGAATGCAATTTTAACGGATACGAAAATTGTGTATATTTATGGTAGATATGCAAATGTACCCTGCATCTAGTGGAAGTAAATTGTCGACATGTAGCACTTCCTTGTTTGCTACATGCCGAACAATTGGGGCTGATGTTTCTCTATCCTCTCTCTATCTATCTGTCTATCCATTTTTCTATCCTATAATCGTCTCTCCCAGAAAACGGAATCTGTACGGAGGGCATCGAGGAACTTCTAGAAATCTTTGACCGGACATTACAAGCCAACCCATGTGGATGTTCCCGGTGAATGAGGGACTTTAGGTGAATGACTGAACATTGTCTTCAATTTTGTCATAAGGACCTGTGTGTTTTTAAGATATTTTTAGTAAATTCATTTTATACGTATAATACTACAACCCACATCACTGATTATCACAGTTATTATACCACATTTTGTGAGTATTTCCTAGGGTACTCAGACTATGGTATTTAGTTTCGTCCAGTTGATTGTTCTCATGTACCGGACATTGTTTAGGGTCGTGTTTGAGTGATACAATCCTTGGGAGTCCTCTTATTATTTACGTCAAAAGTTTGAGCAATCCCATCATGGCATTGCGAAAGCGAATCGGCGAGCAAACATGTTTTCCGATGGTCAAAGTCATGCTCATACATGTCGCATAGTGGAAAAACGCTTAGAAGATGACAACCATTGGTCGATCCACAATCGCGCTTCAGATGCAGCCAGTCTTCCTTTGACTTTACCATCATCGGTGGTGTTCTTTAACGCGTTGAAACAAATACTTTACTATACGACCTATGTAACATGCTTCAGAGACGCACTTAAAGGAATAAATAAATATCGATGATGTTCATTTCGGCCCTTTGTGTTTCAATTGCTTTCGCATCACCGGTGACGTAAAGAACACTGCTCTCAGTTTCACTGTGGGGAAAGTAAAATTTACAGGCGTTCTCAGTGACTGTTCTAGACTTTCTCTGTGTTAGTTCCCCAAAGCCGGAATCCTTGTGAATAGTTCTTTCTTGGGAATGTGGCTTGGGGCCTTGCTTGTTAATTGCTTTGGTTTGGTGTGAAGACCAAGATAGAACGTATCCCTTGACCAAAGTGGGTAAAGGTCATATCAACTGACATAGTAAACGTTTCTTCACACACAATTAACGTGCGCATATTCTCTACCTTCCAAATTTGATTAATCGAGCCAAAAGCTGTCATTTTGTAAGCATTTCTTCTATTATAAAATATTTCGTGTGTGGACATTTATGTGCGATTCGAATCCTGTAATGCCCGACAAAAAGCACTAAGAACCTGGTTTGACCTTTTGTGAACTCATCGACGGTGTTTACTTTTGCTGCCCATGGTGGGATTCAAGCGTGTAAACCCGAGGTTAAGGGTTTTACAATAACAACCCTGGGTTTTTGGATTTAAGTCCCGTTTGGGACACAAACAGGATTCATTGCTGATATGTTATCAATAGGATGAGACAGTTGTCCGTTTTGCCTCCATTCATATGCCACTTCGAAGTTTGCTACCTAACTGTTTCCAAAGGTTATTGTACTATTTTATCGTCCATCTTATTCACAAGGAGCATTATAATTTTCTATAATAGTAGCTTTGAGGGAGCTGAATATTTCTCTTAAGCTTTGCGTAAAAACAGTCAGTTTTCTCAGCTTTACTTCTCTCGAATAAGAGCTTTGTGCATTCCAAAGTAATCAAATTTATGCTAGGGGCAAGAAAACCAGTTGACGTAAGTGCCAAACAAAACTATTATTAACTTAGGCACTACATTTGTACGAACAGTGTTGGGTATCGAGCCTAGGTCTAATCTTTTGAACGCTTGAGTTAGGTGCTATTTTCACTTGATTGCTATGAAAATTGGCCGGCGTGAGTGCACGTATTGTCTCCATACTCGGTTACCTTTACAGGGCCATGTGCTAGATACAGATAGCGCTCTATAACACCCGTCAGGTGTTCCAGAATTTGTTCGGCATTGATAAATTAAATAACTGTTTTTTAATTCCACATTTTTCACTTTTGTGCTGTTGATTACAATTATTGCACAAAATATGATCCACAATAATAGCAAGTAAAATGTACAAAACTTCTGAAGAAAAATTGGAAATATTCATGCATTACCGCGTCAGTGAACACGCTGTACAGTGTACGAAACGTTTGTTGATCAGTCTTAAATTTGTTCCCGTGATGATCGACGGAACGTGATTAGATGAGCAACAACAGTGAAGAGAATCAGGTTCTTGGGAATAATTCAGTTTATTTTTCGTAACTGTTTATTCCTGCCATCACGTTTGGCATTGTTTTCAGGAATAGTTCAGGTTGAACTTTGTTTGAGGTTCCAAATTCGTGACTTTATCGGTGTGAATCATTATGTGTAGGCAATGCACAGCTGACTGAAACCTTGACACTCGGGTCAGAATACAGTGAAATATGAAAATATAACAATGCACTTGGTCCAGTGGCTGCCGTTTGTAATTTACAAAATCTTTCACTGTAAATAAAACTAAAAAGAGAATAAGTTTAAGGTTTGGCATTGTGAAAGTATGTCTCAGGAACGATCGTTTTGAAAGGAACTTTGAGGAAGCAGAATTATTCGGTTTTGCTCCATTGTTTGGCAAAGTAATCATTGAAGTATGAAAAATGATTCCTAGAGTCCTTCAAATAACATCCAGTAAGGTCAACTAAATACACCCCGTTGGCGAACCAAAGAAATTCATGATTTATTGCCCGTTATACTTAATTTAAGAATCACGAGAAGAGCTACAAGTTACATTAATTTATCTATTACCTCTCAGTGTATGACCATGGTCACATCCCAGGTTCATCGAATGACCGGCATAATTCTGGATTGGTACATACGCTTAGGCACCCAAACAACCATTACACTGAGATCAAAGCTAGAAAGGGAGAAAATGAATTTTACACCACCCAAAACGCACATCAATCCAGAGCCATTCATCATTTATTGGTATGACAAAAAAGCGAATAAGGAATAAGGAAACTCACTGTGATTTCAACACAGTGCTAATGAAATTTTATGTAAGCAAATAATTAACCAGCCATCTACCAGAATTGTAATCCACAGTTACTCCAACCCNGCCCCCCCCCCCCCCCCGCCCCCGCCATTTTATGAAGATTGATGCATGGGTGAAACACAATGCACCGGTATTTTGATAGATAAAACCGGTGCGTGGCAAGGTGATTTACAATGGACGCAGAAAAGCATTGCATCTCTTGTCCACCGAAGAAAAAGTAATCCTCAGTTGTGAGAATCGGTAAAAAAGAGGGAGAAAATAGATCTGCATAAACATTTTCACTCAAAATCGACATCCTAATTTTAGGCGATAGCAAAACATTTCATTTTTTATTAACTGCATGCTGAGACGTGGTGTAAGAGTGTTGATCTGCTGCCACCACAAGAAGAACATAACATGGTGCACTTCAGTTTCGTGCACCACATTTTTCGCCGGTGAATGCGTTTCATTCTTCATTCTTCATTCTTTTTTGAAATGGAACATTAGGCTCAAATGGTGTGTAATAATTGCAGCATTACAGACTATGCGTTTTCACTACATTTCACTCCTAGCCAAACATCTTGCACCAATGAGCATATGACAGGGAAGGAACATTCAGACGGATTATTCTAAACTCAAATTAGAAACTAAAGCGGCTTGATCAGAACGAGACTGGGTAACCCTAAATGACGAAATTCCGGTTTCCTACTCATAATCTGTCCTATGTATAAAGGCACACTTTGATGCAACCGATCTACTAAGTGAGCGTTTATTTTGATAATTAACCGATAAATATCCTCAAAATCATGCACGTTAGATTTTTTTCGAAGCATTAGATATATAAGTACCCATAAATTGATAGAAGCCCATAAAAGTAAAGTAAACCTAAGCAGAAAAGTTTTTCCATAAGAATAATTGTTTCAATAGGTACACTTCCGGAAGTTTCTGTTCAATAAGGAAAACATATTAGATAATAACTGTTCCATGAGAGAAATGGAGGATTTGGTTTCTTCATACGATGATAATAAAGGTTCTGGAAGCAGATTTTATTTGGATAGGAGAAGTTTGTATTATGAATCTTACCGAGACAAACTCGACTCTGGGGCCAAAGTTACTTCCCGATTTCTAGTCTCTAAATCCTATATTTCTATTTTCTCACTTACCATACTGTCAATCCCCAGCAGCAGCAGCATCAGGAAGAAACAAACCGCCCAAAAAGGGCTGTATGGCATTGTACCCAAAGCTTTTGGATAGATCACAAACGCCAGCCCCGGTCCAGACTCAGCGACCAAGCTGATGGAAACATTCGCAGTTAGAGCCATATTGCCCAGGGTCGCGAAGATGACGCAACCGGCCAATAAACTGGTCATTGTGTTGATCAATGCGAACAGACAGCAATCACTGCGAAAAGATAGCGTAGAACCGCTCTCGTAATACGCCATTTATTAGTAGAATCACTTTCATATGAATCCATCAACCAGATTTTGGACAATAGAAACTGATAGGAAACAGCAGGAAAATTTCAAAAGATCTTCCGCATAGAGATTTATATTGCCATGAAATGGAACATTAAAATACCAAACAGATAACAGAATCATTTTATATTTTGAAACTAGGTGTCGTCCGTGTTACTCAGCATTGCAGGTTCCAGCTCGCAATCCGATATCTCATAATGCGCTCCTTTTTAAGTATTCCAGACAACAGTCCAACCGCTGCCGCTTAATGTTGTTGTTCGCAATTAAAAACCCATTCCATTACATAGTTAAAAAAATTTTTGGATCATAGACTTTTGCGAATATTGCAATCTAATTGCCCGCTTGCAAAGATCAAAATGTTTGCATCGATCAAATACTGCATTTCAAATTAATTTTCCTAATGGTAATATTCTCCGGAACACAGTACTTTCAATACACAATGCGACCGATCCTTTCTTTTCACCCGGTGAAAAGAGAATGCACGTGAACCGCTATCAAATTTGTGTGCTCAAATACAGTATGTCCCATCTGGGTACGCGTAGAGGAGGCCAATTGTTTTTTCTTTCATTTATCGATTTTGGATAATAAAATTTGATCTACCGCATCGCAAACCAGTTGAGAAAGCTACTCACAGGGTCATACAGATACATCAAACACTCTGTTAGAAACTAATTGTAACCTTAGTTGATCACAAGTTCATCCAGGTCACTAAAACGTGTGATATTTGGTTCGATCTAAACTTAATTTTGTCTTAAATAAGCTTCATTTATCTCTTCTATCTTCCTTTTTTACCTACCGCAAAACAAGTACGATCAAATTAAACTGAATTCCTTTGCATTCACATGATTACTGCTACTTTTGGATCCAGTAAAAGCTCACAAGTATCATGTGTGTTTAGAAATATTGTTTGCCACCTGAAAATGACTAGATATTCTTGTCAGGCTTCCTCCGAATCAACGGGGCATACCGTTCTATCGAATTGATGGAGAATGCGTTTGTTTCTGGTAGTGGGAGACAATAAGTTTTTCTTACTCATTTGTTTGCTTAAATGCCAGAATCTCTGGTACCTTACAGGGAAAACGAGCAGTACTTTTCTGGATCAGTTTTTATACAGAGCAGTAAGTACAACAGAGAGTAAATGAATATTAAATTTTCGCACATAAAATGTTGATCTAGCTTGCTTGAATTTTAAAAACATTACTTGACCGCTTCGCACTTCAAACACTAAACGAGTTCGTACACACACGCAGTAACTTCCGGTAAGAAGACCATTTGTGATAGAACGCAACCGCCCATTGGTTGCACGATTCATAGACCATGGGCAATGATTTGGAGGGAGAAAAATGGGAAAACCAAAATGTAGTAGCAATTTGAGCATCTTGTCTTTTCGTTAATAAAATATCTGTGTATGGTTTCTAATGACACGCTATGGTAAATATAGTGGTGTATTGAGTGAATGAAGCGTGAACTGAAACGTTGTCTTGACCTGATTGGGTCTCATTCGAGGCACAAATCTAATTCTTTTTTTTCTGTACACAACAAACTTCACTATGTAATCTGATCAAATTCTCCAGTAATCCAAAGTAATATGCGTCATGAACGTGGTAAGTTCACGTGCATTTGTCTCTAAAACGCGTTGATATACAATTACAGTGCGCTACCAAACCTGTAGTATTTCCTAAAAATGTGAATCATAATACCAGCTTCTGGATTGCGCTACTTGCGAGAAATGTTCAGTGCAAGTCGTCGACTCTAGAATCTTAACAGAAAAAATTAGTTTTCACGATATTTCAAGTGACATATTCGCTTATTCCACGTTCCATGATTCCCAGGGAAATAAGTTGGGCATTACTCAACCCCTCTCGTGGAATGTATAATAGATTTTGGAATAACAGGCTCGCAGAAGTAAAAAGAAAGGTCACCTTTTTATCTTTCTGATCATGACAATAAATAGCTATTCTAGTATGATGGTCTGTATGTTTGACATAGGTCAGCTGTTTAAGTTCCGGAGACCTGGGGATTCTATTTTGTGATGCGTGAAAATATTCGGCAAAGTATACACCTCTCGGGAAATTTAGCGGACTCACCGTAGTGAATTATGATGAAACGAATTGTAGCTTCCCAGGGCAGTTAACGCCCCCAAACTGAGGGCGTAGCTGAAGAATATTTGCGTTCCGGCATCTGACCACACCTAAAACGTGAATTAGACAGAAAAATAAAGCACCTCGATCGATGATATCCTTTTTCTGTGATCAAAATTTGACAAAACAAAAACTCAACGCGTAGATGGCTAGGAGTTTCCGATTGCACGGATAAAATTGTCAGGATCAGTTTATTTGATCCGGGACAAGAGACTGCTTCGATTTTCCGTTTGCTCATTTCAGAAACAGTGGAATGGGTTTCACCAACGAAACGCTATTTATCAGAGTTGAAAACCTTTGAGAGGTGAATTGCACTCAGCCATAAGATACTGAAATCGGTTTTATTATATTATTATTAGTATTATGTATTACATTATTATTATTATTATATATTATTATATCTAGGATAAAACCTGCAACTTAGTTGGAAAACAGTTTCAAAACGAAAAGCAGATGAAATAATAAATGCTATCAAACCTTTTTCATTATCACAAATCACAAAGGAATTATATGCACATGTTGTTCAATGGAAAAGTGGCTACAGTCCTAAGCTACCGGACCAGGGGCAGAGTATTCTACATAGCCTAAAGATTCAATAAATGTTCTCTACTTCAGATGTCCAGGCTCGTTATTTCATTTCAGTTAATAAAGAAAAATACACGTGTTCCACTGGTGAAATGATGTGACTTAGTTGACGGCTGACCAATGCAGTTGGTTGTGTTTAATAATATTACTTAAAATTAGCGGCTGTTTTTTCCTCTTTCGTGTAAGGTTCACTCATATATTTAATACTTTGGGTGAAGAGAATGCCAGCTCACATAAAGGATATTCACAGGTATGTACACCAGATCCATGAAGGGGAGTGCTTTTAATAGGGTTAATGATACTGCACTTATTAGATTAAAGTTACCCAGTTATTAAAGGAACATAGTGTGCTTCCCTGCACAATCCCACACTTAAAGTACATTATGGTTCACAAAAGCAATATAATGAAACCAGATCAGAGATTTCGAAAAGAGCATGCCAGACAACCCGCGCTACCTTGTAACTGGAAGGTCAATTCAACTTTGTGTCAATCATCGATGTACTTGGTTTTTTTCTGACGGTTCACCCGGGATTTGTTTCCTTCACACCCCACGCCATCAGTTCAGTCAACTTCCTCGGAACTGCCATTGGTTGTTATCACTTTTCTGAATTGAATAACCCCAAAACCGACATCTTCCTGCAACCTATTTACATCGTCCTTCTTTTACTGTAACGCAATCATTATCTGTATTATACAAACTCTAACAGGAACAGACCATAAGACTACATGAAAAGTTATTCAATGAGACGTATTCTCATATAAATAAACTGAAATATTTTAAGAGATGATTTACCATTTTCCTTCTTCAACCTATATGCTGAAGATCTATATATGCAGTGAACTTCTTGTTTCTCGTTCGCCCTTCACACAGCATTTGGTCAAGAAACAACTCATTTGAGTGTGAGAGTTTTTTCTTCAAAATAACGATATTGCTGATATTTGATCCCGTGAACACAGAGCAATATAAAATTATTATTATGTTCAGGTAGCTGATCCGCTAAAGATTTGTGAAAACAAAATTTTTATACTGCGTAAAACATAAATGTTCGTTCTAAATTCATGGTTTTGTTGCCCACGTGCATTTTCTCATTCGTTTTCCATACTTATTCCTTAAAATCAAATGAAATAGTTATCTTCCACGAACATTCGGTTTGTTATTTTAAGGACCATCATGTGCTTACAGCCCCTTATCCTCTATTTATGACATACATACGACGCAGACAATCATCATCCCAAAACGCATTCAATTATTGTTCTAGCTACGTTTCAAATGTTCATATGTATACGAGAATACATCGTAGATGATTTGTGTATCGTGGTACCAATTTTCCGTATCCTGATTTTTGACGATCAATTTTCCGTTCCGTCTGCACTCATGCATACATCGTACGTACGTACGCATAGTTTTAGTACATGTCAAAAATACAACAATCTGGCCCATTGAACGAGACAGCTAGCATGTGGGGCAGTTACAAATCGATTGAAAGTGTCGAGCTACGTGACACCCAGAGACAAAAGCAACATAGATAACGACAGTCAAACACATTAAGAAGCCGCCCAAAGTGTCAGACATACCATTTTTCTACCAGTAATAATTGAGTAAAGACGTTAAAAGTTATCAAACTTTTTATGTTTTCAGAGTTGTCAAAATGATCCTGTTTTTCGAAAGCTCGTTTCAAAGCAACTAATGAGTGAAAGTTTAATTTATTGAAACATCAAACATCAACACGGTGATTATTTGTAACCTGTATCGGACTTGGGTATCGGAAAGACAGAACATTTTTCGAGGTGATCAGGACATGGAACAGTTACGAAATCAGGAATGAGCAAAACCGCCCCTGCAGTAGTATTGTTTTTTTGTTAGTTTCACACATAATTGATTTAACCTCCAAACTGCGCTTCTTGAAAAACGAATACTCATGAAGGAAGCACAAAACTTTATTTCGGCCTACAGTTCTGTTAGATTAAATAGTTGGTTTTGCTAATACCACTAATCAGCCGTATAATCCCCCATTTGCTAATGCGAATTCGGAGATCAGTGAGGATGGATTGCGGTAAAGTTGAACTCATATCAAACACCAACCTGCATGTCAAACAGCTTTGTCCAATCCGGTTTGAGGTAGTAGATCAGACCCTCAGAAGCTCCGTCCAGGAGGGCCGTACGGATGAGCAAGATCAACATAAACAAGTACGGACTGGTAGCCGTGACATACATAATCTGCAGGTATTGTGGAATCCGGGGCAGAAAAAACAAAAACACGTTCACTGAATGAAATTATGCTAAAAGGCAATCATACAGAGGAAAACCAAGCGTTCTTGTTCAAAGCAGTGTCTTTATGGTTAACAGAACTTGATTTGTTTTAACTGTCTAAAAATATGCAATAGGAACTTGAGTACCTGAGAACACTTAGTTACAATTATAATGCAAAAAGCACAATTTTATTAAAAAACTAATCGATATTTTTCTGTAGACGAAGTATTTCATCACACAAAATGAAATAAACCTTTATGTTATGCAGCTTATTATGAGCATGTCTCGGTAGGTTACATTACACTAGACAATTGGAGTTTCAATCGCCACCATTTGAGTAAATTGGGAATATTTATTTTAAAAAATCACCATTTGGTACAACCGATTTCAGCGGAGATAAAAACCTGTGGTCCCGTGAGTTATATGAAAATGATATGTATTTACAAACGGAGATATTAAGCGATGCATTTAAGATGAACTGCATGTAAGTCAGTAATCTGCCTGTCCGCTTATTCACTACCTAAAACTTGATCCAGTCATTTAAGCTTGCAGTCTACTAATTTTGAGACGCAAATTTTGTTAGTGAAGTTGTGCACTACGAATTTAGAACGGTAAAAGGGTACGTCAACTGATTGTGGTAAAGATTGCAAACTTGTAAAAGTTTAAAATGAACCTTGAAATTATTGTTTTTGATCTTGAATGATGAAAATACAACAAAAAGCAGGAAAAGTTATCTTCAGCCAACAAGTTATGAACCGCGACTTAACTATGAAATGTTGAATCGTTGTACTTAATACTTCATTTTGCAGCACGGAACGGCAACGGTATTCCTCATTTCTGTATTCCCTTAGGTAGTCTTTGTATGACCGTGCCCACCTTCCTGGGAGTTGATTGTACACTCGTGTACTTAATGACCAATAAGACAGTAACAATTACTGAATATTAAGAATACAGGTATCGACCAAACTCGTGCAACATACTGATTTTCATCATATTTGTTCCTCTCAATACTTCATTCTTCCAGCCTCATCAGATGCAACATATCTGATATAATATCCACTTGTGTCACTGCTTATATTAGCCACATGCCATTAAATTGTACAATTTCGCGATTTTGACGACGGTTGCTGGTGCATCAGTTGTAAGATAACAAGGTCACAGTAGAAAACCTAACTGTAATTTATTTATTAAAATGACTCATAAACTTTATACAGGTATTGCACTTTCATCTCGTCCATGTTTCATTTGCTCCTCTTCAATTTTGAGCACGAGTTTGGTCAACACGTGTACATAGATTGGCTGTTTATCGATTTAAGTATCCATCATTTTTTTCAGCTAACATCATTGCCGTTGAGCTCAGCAATTTTCAGTTCCACAATGATTACCATCTTGGATGGTTTTTCAGTGACTGCTTCAAAACTCGGCTGGTAGTTTACGACAAACATTGGAAAAATCTACAAATCTTTCCGCTGTGCACAAGAAAGATGTATCGCTTCGAACAAGAACTCTACTGACGACAAGGAGAACCCTGTATTTCGGAATAAACATTTTGTATTGTCAGACTCAGAATCAAGCAGCAACGTACATTTGATGAAATGTTTTTCGGAGGAATAGGGTGAATTCATCGAGGACTGTGTTGGTTACGTGGAGAGGGCTGTTTTTCTTAATTTATTTCTGAGGGAGGATGCGCATTGCGCCTGGGTTTAGTGCACCGTTTGGGACATAACTTATCCGATCGAAAGTGCAACTCGGTTATCTTGCCAGTAAACAGATGTCAACTGCGTAAAAGGTATTCAAGAAGAGTTAAGTAAATAGTTGTGTCCTTATCCGTATACATTTGCTACAAAGCATCACTCCAATTACCTCCTACCCCTAGATAAATTGAATAAAAACTGTAGAATCAATTTGTCATAAGAAGAAAATTCGAGGCATTGAGAGCTCATAATGTGCTTCTGCGTGTGTAAAACTGAATAGAAATGCAGAATATTTTAGGAAACCAACTAATAACCAGTTCTAATACTTGCATTCAAAACATTGCATATAGTATATATTCAGCATCATGCCAGGTTTGACGACAATACCGATTTCGCCACAATCTAATAACAAGGCGATCAGAAAAATAACTTTTATCCGTCGGCACTGTTCCAGTCAAACCCTTTTTAACCGAAAACTTCCGCTTTTTCCAATATTTCATACTATTTAATCTAAGCAGTAATTACTTCAGATAAACAAAGCGTATTGATTCCGATTGTAAAAACAGTACCACAAAAGCCGAAACAAAATTGATTGTGTGAACCTATCTCGTTTTAGTGGTAGTAAAACAACTCAGTTGTGATTGATTCTCTGTAATTCTTTACACTACCTCTGAATCCTTGACTTTTTTAAAAACATTTGGAATTCGTAGACAAATCATTATGCTTGAAAATCAATGTCCACAAGCACATTCCAGTCAATCATCATATTCAGTATCTGATATTTTGTGAATTTCTTTTTCATTTCAAGGTGTATGATAGCTAGACCTGACCGAACTAAGGAACAATATAGTTTGCATTTCCATTATTGCTTTGCACAATCGAAGAAGCTGTTACACTCCAATCAAAGACTCATTGGTTATTATTATTTATAAAACTGGCCACTACCAGATTGGTGACTGAGATTTGTACATGTCTTTTCCTCTGCAGTGCATCATTCGAGTTCAGAGAGATTTCTCTCACAACAACTCAATAAGCTCTCAACTCAACTTACCATATGTATCATTTGTTTGATAAACCTATGTTGTTATGAACCTCGCCGTTTTGCAAACTATCACAACTGGCTCTGTAATAGTTTCAAATGATAATTTTTTGGCTGTATGCCTGCTTTTGACTGCACTGAGAGAATTATATTTTCCTTCGCCAACAACGAATGGTAATGTTCATTGCACAGTATAAGAAGGTAAACAAACCGTTCATGATTACCTACTTTTCGATCTTCCGAATCCATTGACTAGGTCACAAAATTTGAAGTAGGAACTTATCTAAGGCTCCATTAAACGAAATAAGTTGTTCATTAGAATAAATATAGAGTTATATACCGATTTGAGCGACTGTGGTGAGCTTGAAAATACTGATCTTAGGCACATACACCGGAAGATAACAACTACTTAAACATGTCAGTTGGCATTCAAATGTACTTCATAATCGGACGGACCATCGCAGCTGCAATTCACACTATAAAACCTTGTTTGTAAGACCCTGAACTATAAGTTGTATTCTAAGGTTTGACAAGCACCGGGCTAATATCTTTCATGCTGGGAACCACAATTGTTTTATTGTATACTAACCTGTGTACTGTGCAACTTTTGTAAGCACTGAA